TCCATGGCAAAGATGACGTCATCGAAGTGTTCTTTGGTGGCTAAAAGTCTCTGGCAGTACTCTAGACGTTTCAGACGGTTCGGTTCCCTCACTAGTCGGCAATACTTGGACCCAGTAGATAACCATCCTAGCTTCTTTCTAGTCTTCCTCAGTGTTCTTTCACAAATGTTCAGGCCCAGTTCCCGACTAAGCATGCGGCTGAGGTCTCTCACTGTTGTCTCGTCATTTTCTTCCATTTTTCTGTCAATGAATGCCATTACTTCTGGAGAACACTTTGGATTGGCTCTTTTCTTCGGCGGTGGCAGGTTCAACTCTCCAGTTTTGTTGTACCGTTTTAGGAAAGTCCTAAGATGTCTATGATTGATGGTAAAGTTGTCTTGTTCCGACAATATTCGTAAAATATCATACATTCTCTTGCCTTCTCTTAACAAATGAAGGACTTTGATTTTTAGAGTACTAGTTAAACGAGGCATGTTTTTACTTCATACACGAAACGAACGAAGGAATGAGGAGAATAAACATTAAAATGAATTGTACGTAGGAACGAGTAGAATGCCTATTGTTTTTATTGATCGATGTGCGTGGCTTGGGTAATCATAAAAGCGTCTTTCTATTGGAGTTTATGGGAACAATGCTTTTCAATTTGCTCTATTCCTATTGGTGCATTTCGATCCGACCTGTGCTTCAAAAATGGATGGCTGGGAGGTTTTGATATCTGCTCGTTTTGTGTAGCAACATCAACAACAAGTTTAGTCAATCAGATATTATTTACAACATCAGACAAAATACCCACTTGGCGAACACTAACAAACCAAAAAAAGTTTATGCTGGTATATTTTGAAAGTGACAATACTTTTGCAGTTGTCGAATCCAAAAAAATCAAAAATGGCAACATAGACAAAGGTGCTGTAGTAATGTCCAAGATGGAAGGCGTACCTACAAAGGAAATGTAATCGATCTGCATGGTAAGTATCTTAAAAATTATTTAGTAATTATTGCATCCAGTATTCTAATTTTGTCTTATATTTCTCTACTTAGATCAAAAGAAGGTGCTAGAGGATTTGATGGAAGTAAAACTGGACGAATTACTTGCCCCCAAAGAGACTGAAGACGACCAGCGGGAGACAGAAGACGACCAGCGAGACCGGAGATGAGCAGCATGAGACAGGAGACGACGAGCCGCTTGTAGAGCCGCCGCAACCAAAAAAGAAAAAAACAACCACAGCAACAGGAAAGCCGCCTTCAAAGGGTAAAAAGCCAGTAAGTAATACTCAACATGTAATCTCTTATCTAAAGTATTCACTCAACCTTATACTTATGCACACTATTTTCTTTTATAGGCTGTACTTCTGTGCTCTTGAGATGGCCCCAACGAACCACCACTGATTGCACTTACAAACACGTCAACACCAGCAGTACCATTGTCACCCCCCCAACCGTCTTCGCGTACATCATCATCACCATTGTCCACTGCTTCGCCTGTCTGCTCTTCACCGCCACCTGAAGCAACAATCACTCTGCAGCCATGAGTCACCATTCACATCTCCGACACACCACGACGCCACAGAAGTCCCCACCACAAACACAATGTTCACCGGCGACTGTTTACATCAACGACAACGATCCATGACGACACAGCAGACATACTACGACAAATACTAAAGAACCAAGTCCAAATGCTGAAGAGACTCGACCGAATAGAGAATGCTGAAACCATCGCAAACAGCTATGTGTCATCAGCCAACTCCACGCCAACGCCATTGCCAGACACATCCCACATACCATCGAGACCATTACCAGATGAAGAATGGAAATTGTACGAGTCCCTTAAGGATAAAGCGTCCTCACCTGGACATTTTGCCACATTGCAAATGAAACATTTTTTTGACGAACACGAACGTGTCAATAGAAACTGTACGGGGAGGCAAGGAAAGGAAGTGTTGGACCCTATTAGACTAAACAAAATTAAAGAAATAGTATTTAGGTTTTATGCCAATGAAAGTAAACAAAGTGGCGACCAGTTTTGGAAAACATGTATTAGTAGGATTGATGAATGTTTGCGAAGGAAACAGAAAAACCGTGTAAATTAATTATAGTATTCAAAGCCGAAGTGTTACTCGATGCAATTTATAACTTAAGTATAATAAAGTATTTTTTTGACAAATAGCCAGTAGTGTGATTTCAAATATGAAAATATGACTTAATTTGCATTTTACAAGTCATGGCCGGCTTGAACCGGTTCAAACACAACGCCATAAGTCTGTTCGCTACTTTACAACGAAGCTAAAATAACTCCACTAGGTTGCTTTTTTCGTAACTAAAATTCTTCCTTGACATGAATATCCTTCAAAAAACTTTCTAAGAAAAGAGAGAAATCAAGAAACCTGTTCGATATAACAGATTACAAGACGGATATTTGGCTGACTTGTCCATTACGCCAATTACACTTTGAAATTTCTTTCTTCAAAAAAACATTCAAATAATGACAAATTACTTAGAATTACTGATAATAAACGATCCAAAATGTTATAGAGGTTTACAGGCACCTTGAGATAAAGTAGCGATTGTGCTACCTCAAAGACGTGAAATCAACGCAGACTAGTTTTGTAGCAAACACATGTCGAACACAGTTTGCTATTTCAATGTCTTGTATCGCATATTGATTTAATACTACACTCGTAAGGCTCGCGAGTGGCGAGCAATGAGTCAAAGCTAGTGTCATTGTTTTGGAGAAACTCATTAAGCCTTATTTTCACTCGCCGCTCGCGATTAAGGAGTCGGAACGAGTACTCGTACTCGCGAGTGGATGGTACTTTACTCGGTTCCGGTACGGTATATTCTTTTTGTGACTGCTGTTCTGAGATGATGCAAATGTTTCCCCTATAATCTCGCTGGAGTGTTCACACCAAGTCCAATAAATAAAGTCACTGAAAATTGCCCCAGAATTCCACAGCCCTTGGAAATTCTTTGCTTAATGGAAAGTTTGATAGCAAGATAAAATTTAAAGACAATCAAATAATTTTAATCGATTATATGATTTTAGAGGTTAGAACTTTTGTATAAAGCAAAAAACCACAAACCCTGATATGTACTTTAAAAAATTAGAAACCTTATGGCCTATAAAGCAGTAGCTACATGTAGTCATAAACTGGATGTTCTTTCTTTAGTATAAAGGCTTTGAAGAATATAATTACATATCTTACCGATGTTAAGTGAAGATATCAAAGTTATCGGGTTCACAGAATATGTTCAGAAATGTTGTGGCACTGATCCATGTGGCAGCAGCATACAGCAACACACCTTAAGAAAACACAGCACTGCATCAGTTCAGAGACCTCTAAAAAGCTCACATAATCAATAAAATGAGAAATTATAAGACTATAAATAAAATTCAAGGATAACTTTTGGATTTCAAAGCAAAGATATTTTCTCTTATCAGGAAAATTAGGCATAGTTTGAGTTGGAGAAGTTTACCATTGTTTTACTTCTCTTTTGCGCGCTCAAAAACCGCTGAAAAATCTACAAGATTTTATTGAAGAACCATACGCGTTTTGAGCTTCAACAGGGCAAAACCCTCAAATTTTGCACGGGACTCTATATTTTTTGATAGCTCATTCGAAAAAACTCCTAAAAATCAAGGTTATGTCAAGATTTTAGGAAAAGTTTAAATCAGGAACACGTGAAAAAATAGATTTTTGTAGGGATTTTTATTCGACTTTATGAGATTTTTTAAGAGCACCGAAACTACAAAATATGACAAATCAATGTATCTCTCTGTCTTTTTGTCGAAAATATCCATGTATTATTGTAGAAGGATTGAGTAGCCTTCATTCGTGCAATCATAGAGTCTGCAAATAACTATTATCTTATGAATCTTAATTTTTTTTCTAATCACTTCCAGTGGCGCAATTTTTACTCCAAAAGCTCGTGCGTAGGCTTCCATTAAATGCTGATTATCTCGAAAACGAGCTCGGGACACCCTATTTTTCTTTCCAGATTTGGAATCAGCATCAAATTTCAATTCGGAAAATCGAAGTTTTAAGAAAAGCTTAAATCAATTTCCAAAAGTAGGCAATCACCTTAACAATTGTGAGTGTGTGTGAAGGCACAATGACAAAGCTTCTTCGCAATTTAGTGAAATTTTCCCAAATAAAAATTGCTTTTTTATCAATTTGCTTGGTTTGTGAATGTGTCTATATAATAATAAGAGAATTACACTTTGGCTTGAAGTTTATCTTCTCTTGTTGAAAAATATTCGCGCGGTTTCCTTGGCGCCATTTTGTATTGTATAAGAATAGCCGGTAGTAGAAAAGAACGATAGCAGAAAACAGGGATAACATAAAAGAAAGAAAGCAGAAAAGAACGCATAGCAGAATAGCAAACTACAGTTATAGGAAAATGTATATTGTGTGAGCGACACAGCAGTTTATCTACATTTACTATGGCCAACGCTTTCGTATCAAGTTATCGACTCCTCTGCTGCCACGATGCAGCACGAGCAGGAAAAAAGGTCACCGTTTTCGTAAGATATAACTAAAACAAGGATAAAACTGAATCATAGAATTCAAAACTTTTCTTTTTAGCTTTGATGTCATAAAATTTAATCTAAAGTAATATTTTACCTTGAAGTTGTCTCGACACACTTGATTCTTGACTGCAAACATGGCCGGCCAACAGCACGATGTTAACACGTGACACTGAACACTGCACATGCGTGCACAGGAACCTCAACGCAATGTGCAAACGCAGTTGGGGGGGGAGGGAGGGAGCTGGGTCTTGCCTGTGGAGGCTCTCTCTGGGTAAGCATTTTTTTCTCTTTGTTTTCTTCACTCTTTTTTCTAGTTTCAATGCTCAATGGTATTCCAATTTTACTTTAATCACCCGTATTTTCTTTAATGATTTGAAGGCTTGTATAATTAGCATAATTTTACACAACCCTCCCTGGGTTAGGCGAAATTTGTACTACTAGCATAGTAAACATGGCTTCCAGAAGGGTATCTCTGGCTCCTAAACTTTATCAACGATTTCGTCAAGTTTGTGAGCAATGGCCTGTGGATAACACTACATTTGGAAGAGACCTCGGTGCACATATCAAGGAGAACTTCGGGGCTAACATGAAAAATTCAAAAATCGAGGTAAGGAAAATAATGTTATGGCCCTCGAGTAAGTATAGGTAATCGTATGGGGCCGAAGAAAATTAAGGATTGGTTTTTTGAAAACACAAGTGAAATTAATCATTAGTTTTACGAGGAACCATACGACTACCCGTTTATCATATATGAGGCAAAATTCAACGAAAAAAATCGGTCTTGAAACCAATRTAATGGTACTACGCTGTCATTGATCCTAAACTATCAAATCCAATGTAGTTATGATTCAAAAGAATTTTATTCAGAATTCAAACGTATTTCTTCATATTTACATGTGCTCTCTTGGGCAAAAATATTTCAAGTTTTTTTCGGGCATTTTGTAAAACATTGACTGGACTGGACTGGCAAAATCTGCACTGACAAAACATGGACTGACAAGACAAGGACTGACAAAACATGGGCTGACAAAACATGGGCTGACAAAACATGGGCTGACAAAACGTTGTGTCTAGAAAGCGGGTAACGGGTAAAGGGTAAAGGGTAGCAGGTAAAGGGTAATGGGTAAAGGGTAAAGGGTAGAAAATGTTAAGAATAAATGATACTGGATAAATGATACAGGACTTCACAGAATTACAATTCAAAGAAAATAGGTCTTTTTTTTCACCGCTAAATTTCATATATTTTATGTGTAGAGTATTGTACAAACGCTAAAATTGTGCAAACATAGTGTCGTCAGGTTTTTAATACCCAATGAATCTATGTTCTTAAATTTTCCTAGTGGAAACACGGTCATAAACCATCGACTCTGGTTAATCATTATTATTAAATCATCCTAAATCGGACATATGGAGGCTAGCCTGGAGTGTAGCTGTGATGCATTCCCGGTAAAAAGACACACAAAACAAATAGACATTATGATGTTTTCTTGTTTTTATTATTATTATTATTGTTTTTTATAAAATAAATTAAATAGTACGCACACTGTGATTGGTTGATAGCCATGTTTGCATGAGGGTATGTAAACACAGTTGTGACGTCACAACTTTTGTGTTTTCCCGGTACAAGTTCAAAAATTTACAGTTTGTTTCGAGGAAAAAAACGCCCCCAAAAATGTATTTTGAAGACGAAGTTCCAAATTTTGACTTGTGTCAGGGCCACAGGCATAACCCTATGGTCTCATGCAGGTCTTTCTGATCGTAATATCATGACAATCTCTCGTTGGTCACTGCAAAGAGAATGACCTCAGGAGCTACAACACACGTACGTCCTTCGTCAGGACAGCTTCGGTTGTTCCAGCGACGTGCTTCCTCATGATTTAAATGCACCGCGCCCGATAAGGAATACGACTATTTCAAGGAAACAGTCAGCAGCTTCAAACTTTTTCCAGCGATAGCTCTTCAGCTCCACAAAATATCTTCTCGAAGCAAGACGAAACATTCAACTTCGCTGCCATGTTTTCTGGCTGTCAAATTGAGCAAAACCACGTTTCTTTCAACCGAGAATTCCAGTCACAGTGACACTCAGTTATCTACTTTTGATCACTTTCGTAAAGATTATCAATTCTGAAATCTTTTATTAAGATTTCTATTCAATCTTTGAACATTTCTTTGTATTTGTTTTAAAGTTTTAGAATGATAAATGTTTAAAATAACTATAGCGATTCTTTCTCGCTTCACATTTGCCTCCTTGGCGTTTATTACACGAAATTTGATTGGCTAACGATTGAAGTTGGTGATGTATGGAGAATTTGTATAAACACGGAAAAAGTTTTCTATTGCTTAAATATTGTTGTTATTGTTTCATGGTTATTTATTTATAATCATATGGATAATTATTGGTTTATAATTCATATATTTTATCTGTTAAACGCTACCCATTACCCACATTTTAGACACACCGCTGACAAATCCTGGAAAATTATAGATTTTAAATATAATTGAGGAATCAATGAAAAACTGTTAGAACCATGACAAGAATCAGTGTATGTATCACATGTTGGGAATAAAACAATAACTTACCCAAATGAAGAAATTTCCTGGCCTCCAGGTGAACTTGTTAGTATTCCTGACACTGAACATAATGTCCTGTCAATGCATTCCACTGTTGTTCAAAGGCCTCATTCAAGGGAATGTTTCTATATTCTGGGAGGGGAGCCAGGCTACACATCGCCGGCTTTGGTTATGAGGAAATATTTGTAAGAGTAAATATTACAGTATTTCCCATTTAAATCGATTTTACTAGTCTGACTCTTGTTTCCTCAATGGTATTTAAATCTATAATTTTCCATGTTTTGTCAGTCCACGTGTTGTCATGCTTTGTGACTTGAGTTTTCTTGTGATTTCTTCATCTGCCAAAACATGAAGCCATTTTGGCTTGCAAAAAAGATAAATTTTCAGTTTGCAAGCATTGCTAGGCAACTGAACTACCAATATTGTTTCATAGTTCAGGATCAATGGATTTTTTCGTTGAATTTTGCCCTATATATGATAAATATGGTTCATCGTAAAATTAAAGATTAATCTCACTTGTGTTTTCGAAGTTTTGAAAACACTCATGAAATTAAGGCAATTCCCTTGTTTTGCAATGCACATTTTTCTGTGCATGTAACTAAAATCATAGAACTAACCAAGGTTAGACATTTTTCTTAAGGAAACTAAGTAAGAAACATGTTCAAAACCAATTTTCACTTTTTTCTCTTTTTTTGAGTAGAGAGATTGCGATTCTTATCTGACTCGCCCCAGTCTACACTCGTAAAAGTGTCAGTTTTCAACTATCTTGAGACATTTTTTCAAGATAAATCAACAACGAGAAAGGTGACCCCCATTTTTAAGATGTTTGATAAATGCAATGCTCATCATTATATTTCAAAATATGAAGGAAAGTTTATTGGATAGATTTTGAAATATTTTGATGGGAATAGTTGACATGTGCAATTTTTTCTATCTTTGTAGAGGTAGAGGTGCACCTACCTGCATTTTCACCAATAGTTCAAGAATCATAGTCATCCAATACTTTGATGTATTTAGTAGTATAGATTATCAGTACGTTCTGTTATATGAAAGTACTTTTAACTTTGAATAAAGTTTTCACTATAAAACCAATAAATTRTCATATTTGGAGAGCATCTAGCAAAAAAAAAAAAAGAATGGTGACCCCCATCTTTTTATTCCAGTTTTTGAATATCCATAACATGTTTAATGTCAATGCAAAGTTTCAGGTAAAAGTTATTGGCAAAATTTATTTCAAGGGAACGATCCATAGGATTACCTATGCTTATGTAACCTGTGGTCTACGTACACATCGGACCATATGCCTTTATTTGCTGTAGGCCAAAATAATTCACAGTTATACGTCCATTGATGCCACTATTTAATCTTTTTTGCTAGACCATTGAAGCTGAAAAGTCATGCTGGACAGTCTGGTGAAAATTAGTTCCAACTATACAAAGAGAAGCTAATCTTAAGGCAAACTTAAAGCTTCGATCATGCTAGCTTCAAGCCACTCCAAACGCCATTTGATAAAGACTCTTCTTATTTTGAAGAAACAGGAAGAAACCTCCGGACGAGCTCCCATTTTGAGGACTGTTTGCATTCCTGGTATAACTTTTGATCAAGCTGTAGGCCAAGAGGCAAATCGGATAATTTGGTGCAGACATTCTGGTTTGAAGGACAGAGGATTTCTTTGGACCTTAGATTGTTTATCAAGAAAATTGATTCTGGAGGGATTTTAGCCAAAGTTTGAATTTTGAAGAATTTTGAAGATGTCCAGTTGATTTTGTACGAAATACTGTGACTGAAGTCTCCTACCTTTCCTAATTTTAAGAAGGGAAAAACAAAATTTACTGTAAGCCGTGAAATACTGGACAGATTGGCCTCAAACTCATCCTAGACCCACGAGGATCAATACGAAATAGTAAGTTTTAAAAAAATATTTATGCATACGCCTACTTGCAAGTATGTTGTCATACGAAAATAGAACATTAGTGATTTAGTGGGATAGAAATTATATTAAAAAACAAATGAAGATCACTGAAGCTGAACTTTTTCTTTTGTCTTTTAATTTATTCCTTTCTCACTAAATTACTAATGTTCTAAAATTGTATGACAACATTCTTGCATGTAGGTGTATATTTCTTAGCTTATATCAATTTATCTTTAACAAACTCCATACATTTACTGTAATTCGAACAACACTAAAATTGAGCTTGGGGTACTTGTAATCAGTTTCAAAAACTGAGGCATAGTTCATTATAAACTTTTTACCATATAATTAAGGGGCAACATCTTGCAAACATGTAATGGCTAGCCACAAGCAAGGACCTTTAAAGCAAGGTTTGTTCAAGACATAGCCTAAAAAGGCCCACGTATTAAAGTTGAGGACAGTGTGACAAATTTCAAGGGTAAGCCTATGTGAGATTATTGTCCATATAAACTCTTATGCACTTTTATCTTTGATAAAGTCATCCTTATCAGTACACTTTTTATTTATTTATTCAACTTTACCACTGTGAGGTGGACAAAAAAATTTACAAGTCTAGAACCCAATACATGGCAACCGATTAGGATTTGAAAGTTGGAGGGAGGAAACCCAGAGAACATTCAGCTAGGGAAAAAACCTTGAAACAAAGGAGAGAACCAGCAAACAGCACTACTCACTTTACCAAGAACCTGGGTCACAATTCTGAGAGGCAAGCGAGCTTACGTGTGCTTCTGTTTTATAAAGCCCCACATATCTATGTAATGCCCAGGGGGGAGGGGGACAAACCCAGAGGAATTGAGATTATGCAATGACCCTACAACAGTAGGGAATATACTACTGCCATCTTGAATAAACAGATTTTGAAGACATGCAACCCAAGGTTGACATTGCCCTAACCTCTCCCCGGCCACTTTTAGTGTAATTGTGCAATGCTTCCCTCCTGCTCATGGCTGCTTGCATTGGAATGTTTACTTTCCATAATTCCAACCAATCAACTTTCAGGGTGTATATTTCTAGAACTGTTCACAGTAATCTTTTAAGCCAATTATTAGAGCTCAACTCACCTCATTTCAACCTCAGCCTGTATGGTGGACAAATTTATTATATGTGTGAATTGAATGGATAGAACTGTGGTGTAATAATGTTAGAATGTTGATCATCACAGTGAATAAGCGTTCTCATACTCATTAATAATTCATGAGTAAACCAGCCAATCAATGGGCTATTTTTGGGTCACATAATGTTACTTGAAACCTGGTAAAGTGCTGTGAAAGGAATGCATTCAGTCTGGAGTAACTGGAACAAAATTAATTCAGTCCTAGTAACTGGAACAAAATTAATTCAGTCCTAGGACTGAATTAATTTTGTTCCAGTTACTCCAAGTCAAATAATTAATGAGATGAGAAGTCATTTCAAAGCCTCCAATATCGGACTGGACGGGATTTCAAGTCCGCGCAATTAGTTCCAGTCCTCTGCTGCACCTCGGACTGTAACTAATTGCTTTCACTTGAAATCCGGTTCAGTCCACGTTGTCGGCTTTGAAATATTACATCTAAGCGAACGCTGTAAAGAAAAACCAGAAAAAATTATTTCATGCTTCGCTTATTCACTGTGATGATCAACATTCTAACATTATTACACCACAGTTCTATCCATTCAATTCACACTTATTACCTATAGTGGCTTGATGAACCCAACAAAAATTAACCTCACCAACAGGATTGGATTCATAGCTCATTTGGTAGAGCATCGCACCGGCATCACGGAGGTCATGGGTTCGATTCCCGTTAAAGCCTGAAATCATTTTTCCAGGACATTCTTTACAGCGTTCGCTTAGATCGCTTATTTACTGTGATGATCAACATTGTAACAAATTTATTATAGACGCTGAATCATTGTTGTTGATTAAAGAGTAAGATCTCTTCTCTATTTTCACCAGAAGGCAGAAAGAAAAAGATCATGGTATCTTGCTTAAAGTGAGCATTGCAAAATATCAAATTGAGCAAATCTCGTCAAATCTCAAGATCATTACCACTCAGAATATTCGTTGATATCACAGAGGTCAACATACATGTATCATCACATTTCAAACCTTACAACTCTCACCCTGATTGGTTAATAGCTGGAACAAAGGGGAAGAATTGTTATTCCAATGCAAGCAGTTGTAGTGAGGAGGGACCATTGCATAATTATGACACTAAGAACAGCTGTGGGAAGACTAACATTGCTTTAGTAGTTTTTTTCACATTGTGATTGATTATGTTCTACATTATGTTCAGCATGCTTTGAATGTTTTAAAGGTTTTGCACCATCACATGATGGCGGCCATGTTAGATGGCAGGAACAATACTGTTGTTTTACATGAGAAAGAATTTAATTCCCTAGAGGGAAGGGATTCTATTGTTGTCCATTGCTGTCTACATTGCTTATTGGCAGTATGATAGGTAGGAGAGAACAAATGTAAAGTACAAAATAGAGTGGTTTTCATTAACCCATGAATCAAAAGTTACCTATTAGATGGTAATAGCTAGATTCAAACAATAGAAAACAAATGAATTAGAGTGTAATAGTACTAAATATGCTAAAATGTATTTCACAGGTTTATGAAAATCACTCTATAACTATAAAAAAAATACCATGTAAGTTCAGAAACAAAGATGAACTTTAGAGATTCATTACACTAGTTTTGAAGCTGCATGTAACTAAATTAAATGGTTCCAAAACTCCCACAAGAGATCAACAAAAAGGAACAATGATATAGCTGGCAATTTATTCTCCTTAACCGGCAAGGACAGAACTGGCAAAGCATTTGCTTTTCACTCAATCTATAAAGAAATACTGATTAAAAAATACATGAAAAACATCATAATTCTTTGTTCCACTGAAACTGCATGTTCTAAGCTACCCAGTGTAGACACTACAACAATCTTTTCCTTTGCTGTAATTAAAGATGGCAAAGGCTTTACACAAGCTCTGCCAGGCATAATTAAAAATTATCTACCATCAGTATTAAATCATATTTTTGTTTTGCTATCTGAATATATTGCGAGAAAGATGAGAAGAAGCAATATTAAGTTTGGAATAATTCAAGTTATGAATCAATACTAACAGCTGATACTACCCAACTGGAAGTGATGATCATACAATAAACTTTCTTTGTTGCAGTCCTTGTTTTCTTGTGACTGCTTACTAAAGAGTGGGTCACTAATGGTTATTAATTTCAATTCAAAGGCCAGATCAGATTACGGCAACTAATCTCACACCCATAATAAGCAAAAGTATTTTAAGAACTTCTATTAAACATTCAACCAGGCTCCAAAATCCAAGTTCTCTTAGGTGGACTGCGTATCTAAGTTCATTGTTTATTATTTGAGATTTTTGGTCCACAGGCTAGTGCACAAAAGGACCACAGGGTCCTCTTCAACAAGGGCAGATCCAGGGGGGACAAAGGGGGCAGAAGCCCCCCCCCCCCCCCCC